TTTTTGTACTATTGGAGAAATCCTCAACGGCAGGATCACTTTTTTCGGTACCAACGTATATAAAAGGATATTCACTACCACAATTATTTCTTCACGTCATTCACAACGTTCGGAGAAAAAAAAACTATACAAATAAATTTTAGAATACAACAATAATATCATGCCGTCGGTCTGGGATACACTCAATTCCGTGAGTAGGACAAACAAACCTTATTTGCGATTGAAAGCAGTCCGAATATTTGAAACGCATCACGAACGAGAGAGCTGGAACACATTCCATATAATGTTTCATGATGAACAGGTAAATATTTTTATTAGTAATATCAAATTTATAAATTTATTTTATAAATTTATTTTTATTAGAATTCCGAATAATTTATTTTTTTGTGAAAAATATTATAATTAATATCTATAAATTTGTTTTGTAGGGTGCATTTATTAAAGGCATAATACGTTCTACAAAAATGGGAGCATTTCGAGGTGTACTGAACGAAGGCGATGTGTATGCAATCAGCAACTATGTCGTTGAATTTAATCATGGGAAGAAAGATATCATAACCAACATATGGCAACTTGTGCTTCACAAAAGAACTCGTGTTATCAAATATGGTGGGATTTTCCCTCAAAATGGTGATCTTTTCCCTCAACATTGGCAAGGAGCGTGAGATATTAATGTTATTTTAGGGTTTGATAAGAATTTCAATTTACATTATGAATTTCATTGTTATTCCATGTCCTTCAAGGTTATTATTTGTAATATATTTATTGTTTTATTAATTTTATTATGTTTTATTGTCATTCCATGTCGTTGAATTATGAATTTTAGTGTTATTATATTTATTATCGTGAGATGACGTCTCTCATTCATTTCGATTAATGATTTATATGTTCAAAAATGCAACTGACGATCCAAGTTATTTAAAGGACAGAGCTATATCAGCGCCTACCTTGGAGGTCATTGAGCCTATCAATCAATACATGCCGGATATGAATTCTGCTGAAGGTCGTACATATTTGAGCTCTGACAGTACGTCTAAGTCGGATTCCGGCAATGGCTTTTTGGTTGATCTCCACACACCCGAGTTCTTGAATAGCATTAAGTGTTCAGGAACGCCGAACCATGAGTTACATTTGAAGATAGGAACTTCGGTCATGTTGTTGCGAAATATGGACCATTCTATGGGTCTGTGTAATGGCACATGTTTGGTTGTTACGAAGCTCTCTCCGCATGTTCTTGAATGTAGGATATTGACTGGAGATCACGCAGGTGAGAAGGTGTTGATTCCTCGGATGAACATAACTCCTTCTGATGTTAGGGTTCCGTTTAAGTTCCAAAGGAGGCAATTTCCCCTTATGGTTTCCTATGCCATGACCATAAACAAGAGTTAGGGTCAGTCTTTATCACATGTTGGACTGTTCTTGAAAAAACCTATTTTTAGTCATGGCCAACTATACGTCGATGTTTCACGTGTTACTAATAGGAAGAGGTTGAAAATATTAGTTTGTGGGGACGATGAGTTACCCAGTAATCAAACTAATAACGTTGTATATAAGGAGGTTTTTAATAATGTATAACCTTTTACCAATGACGATTTTATGTTTACTTTATGAATGTCATACGTATTATAGTAACTTATTAATTAATGACTTTTTAATTTTTTAAAATTTTCCAAAACATGTACTAGCCCGTGCATCGCACGGGTTACATACTAGTAATTAATGAAATTGGCGGGAAATTATTTCTAAAAATGAATTATGTTAATCCTTATTATATATTAATAGATAATAGATTTCAATTGATAAATATACATGTCACTACTCACTAGGTGGTTTTCGACGAGTTGTATGTCTGTGGTTGGTGCTCCAACCACAGATTGAGCCTATAATTTCGACCCCAAACCATGTGCTGGACTGTCTCTCAAGATTCTGTGTTTGTAAATAAATAATTCCCTCAAAGTGAGTTTTATTTAGTTAAGTAGGGTTAATTTAGAAAAAAAAAATGGTATAGTTAACTTATTAAGATTTAAGTTTATATTAAAATAATATTTAAAATAAAATAATTAAAATTAATTTGATGTAAAAATAAGAGATACATGATATGAAATAATGGTTAGTTAAAATTCTGTGAGTAGATAAATAGTGAACTAAAATTGATATGATGTGTAAAAATGATTGGTTATAGTTAATTACATTGATAAAATATTGAAGATAGTGGGATTAACTTAAATGTTGAGTTAGATTTTGAGGATGAATTAATTTGGATTGAGATATTTGGTTTACAAACACACTTTCATGCTTCACCATATAATCAAACTATTTTAAATTTGTCAGACACAAATCTTCAAAGAAAATAATATCACCACATCTGGTGTCAGGAAATTACGAACGAAAGCATATTCTTGTGGGTATTTTCACAATCTAGACGACACTTGAACCTGCACGAACTCTCAGCATATCTGTTCTCTTACTTCTTTCCATAGCACCCACCAGCCAGTTAACACTTTCTTTAATACCGAGTCTGTCGTAAAATTCAAATTCATCATGTTGATTTGGATAGATATCGCCCTATCGGTGGGGCATGGTAATATTCATTTAACCTCGGACAACACAATTAATTGTCCAAAGAAGGGGCATTTAGAGAAGAATGTGCTTACCCCTCGATAGCTGAAACAGCTTGGAACGTATAAACTCTCTCGTCAAGTTTCTTGAGGTCCAAATATTGAGAGAGTTCATCGACCGACACAGCATCTTCAAGGTCCTGCGGCATCCATTTATTTGGCAAGTCATCAAGTGGCATAGTTACCATTTTCAGTAACTTTTGTATTTACTGCTTTACTGGAAATTGGCAGGTAAAAAGATGGTACACTACAAAATCCACCTTTGAGCCAATATGCTAAATTACCAAAAACGAAATCCTCATTATTATTATAAACATTTTTTTTTCTTTTGCTTTGATTTTTTAGATTAAGCCGAACCTCAAGGTATTTGTGTAATAATATATGATTAAACAGAAATCTCCATGTGAATCAATATTTCACTACCACATTGTTTAAGGAGGTGAATTTTATAAGTGAAAAATTTTTTAAGCAGCTAACACTGGGAAATTAAAATCACTTTCATGCCTTAGAAGTGCAGCATGAGAAGCTAAAACAACTAATATGGATAGAGGGTCATTGTATGCAACAGAATGAATTTTGCTAACCTGCTTGTTTGCTAAAATCAGAAGAGGAGCTCCTTGTAAATCCTCATGCCGAAGAACTTTCTC